CACCGCGCAGGGCGCACGGCTGCTTGCTTCAATGAAATTGATAATTTTGTTTCTTCTTTATCAATTGGTGTTTTTTCTTGACTATGGATCACATTTTCTACTGCTTTTCAGGTTTCATTTGGATGGTAGAGATTTTTTTAATCCTACTTTGCTGAGTATCTAGTTTTATTGTCTCCCTTTAAGGAATTTTTAAAAAGTTTATTTCTTTCATGGGAGAGACAGATACAACTCTCAACAGGGTCTCATGCTGTAATCCCTTTACCCAGCCTTCCCACAACAGTCAGCATCATGGGCACATGCACCTGCCATGGATAGGTCAACCGTGGCAGAGAACTGAACCTGTGATCTTCTGTATGGATTCAACATTACTTGAGCAGCACATTACCACTGTGCCACCAAGTTGGCCCCCTTTAAAGAATGTTGAATTTTGTTTTGGCAGGCAGTTAAATTGCTTATGTTTCAGAGTAGCCTTTTCTCAAGGGCTAATTTAACCCTACAGTAAAGTGGGTCTCTGTGTGTTTGGTGTGTTGGATGTGATCTCTCCACTATGACTGGTCAGATTTGAATGCCTCCCCATGCTATGAGATCTCTGTGAGTTGTTCAGCTGAAGTTGTTCCAAATTGTTCTTTGCCTGAATTAAGACCAAAAGACTCCAGTGTAACACTGCAGATGTCTTGTCTGTAGCCATTTCTCTGCATATCTTCCATTTTTCCAGCTATATCCCATAAATTCAAGCCACCTCAGCTTCTCAAAACTCCCAACTCTGTCACTTCCTTTCAGTGAGATAACCTGGCTCTCTTTGGTCCCTTCCCAATGCTAAGGTCCTGGACTCACTTTGTTTTTCTTCTAAGGCCACAGTTCTGTGGTGTTTTGAAAACAGCTATTTAATAAGTTCTCAGGCTTTTTATAGTGGCATGTCCACTTTACCAGTTAATGCCATTTTGGCCAGAAGTAAGAATGTGTGTTGTATACACTTTTGATGTATTTAGAATGGGGAAAAAGTAAGGTTTAACTATATTTTTCTGTAAACTGTGAGCTTGTCAAAGGTAGAATTTTCTTTTTTGTTCGGTGCTATATCCTCAGTGCTTATGGTAGTACCTAGAACATCATAAGCATTCAATAAATATTTGCTCAGTTGATGAATGAATAAATACATGGGACTTATATCTTGAATTTCAATTTGAGCCTGTATGATGTCTTAAATGATTGTGATAAGCTAGTCAATTTCCTAGATATTTGAATACTTATGCATAAGGTGCTGTACTTACTCAATAGGCATCTAAGACATTTTTTTCTAAATACATGTAAACTGTAAAAGAAAAGGGCTATTGTCTTCCATGAAGGTAAAAACCCTTTAAATTAAAAATTTCAGGAGCTGTTTTCTGAAATGACAAGTTATGTTAATTTCATTATAGCAAGCCTCTGTAAAATAGTTAATAAATTTGACCACTTTTTAAAAATTTAATATGATTTAACTTAAATACTGATATTTTTTATTATGCAGCTTAGGCGATGGGTGCAGTTTTCCAACTCGCCTTGTGGGGATGGATCCAGAACAAGCTTCTGTTACAAATCAAAATGAGTATGCCAGAAGGTGTGTTTCTTGTTAAGATTTTCAGTATTCATTTTAAAGCAAATACTATACACATATATACATATACACATCTTGTGAATAAATACAATAGTAATTCAGTAAGCAAGTATAGATAAAGAGAACTTTTAAGTTTTTTTTAAACTGGAGTTAATGTGTGTATGTGTCTCAAATGCTTCAGATAACCATATTTTTTATAACTAAATCAGAACACTTTGGAGAATAGGAAAGAAAATGCTTGCATACTAATAGTTAAGCAATGATAGTCATTCATATGAAACTGGAAATACCGGGACAAACCAGGAAGCAACTAAATATGATGTAAAATAAATATGCTAGAAACTAAGATATTCTTTCAAGATTTGATTCCATTGGTTTATGTCAGTAACATACTTTGAAAGAAATTAGTCATTGTACTACTCACCATTCTATCTTGCTAAAGAGATTTTTAACTACAGCGTCAAAATAACAATGAGGATTTCAGAAATATACTTTTTTTGTTATTGTCTTAAAGGAAATTTTCTTGTGATACTTGCATGTTAAGCAAACTATAAACTCAGCAAAATGGTTCATTTAAAATTAAATATAAAGAAGCTAAGAAATACTTTTGTCAAAGTAAAACAGTTGAAACCCATTTAGTATACAAATAAATTATAGAAGAGGAAAGATTATAAATTCCATGCTGGCATATTAATATTAAAAGAACTTAGGCCCTTGAATCTGCAACTTAAAGCCTTAGACCTTTGAGCTCTTATGTTTGTGATGGTTCTGTTCTGAACAAGTCACTTAGACTATCTGAGCCTCAGTTTCTACTTCTGTAATGTGAGAATAATGATTCCTATCTCCAGGGTTTATTGTGAGGGTCGAGATAACATGTGTGAAGTACCTAGCATAGTGTCTGGCCTGTAATGGGGATCCAACAAATTATTTTCTTTTTCCTCCTCCTCCCTTCTTTCCTTCATTCCCTCCCTCCCTGGATCTCTTAGCTAGAAAAATAAGTCTACGCTAAATCACTAAATCATTTTTTCCCCTTAGATCTAAACTGCAGAGGTAGAAAGCAGAAAACTTGGGAAATGACAGGTAATTTTTTTGTACTGGCCACAGACATAGATCCTCACCTGTCCTTGTACTACCTTATGGCTCTCAATTAACATATGTTAAAAACTGGCCTCTGAAGCTTTTTTTCTTTTGTCTAATTATTTTCATTGGCAGCGTTGGAGCACAGATTCTTGGGTCTAGAGAGCCATTTAATGGGGGGTTGTGGGCATATTTTTCCTTTGAAGATTTTTTTTTCAGAATGCTGATGCGATCTCATAAGTTGCCCTCACGTAGGAGAAGGAATACTAATTTGCTGCTTATTAATTTATTAAGTATACTTAATTAAGCATGAAACTGTTTACTAAATTATTTGTTCCTCTTTCCAGTATTGGCTCAAATCAACCTTTTCCTATCAAACCACTTAGTGAATCAAAAAACCGCTTGTTGGACAGTGAATCTCAGTGGCTAGAGAATGGAACTGAAGAAGGCATTGTTAGATCAGGTAATGTTCTCATCTGAAACACTACCTCATCTGGTTCAAATGAAAATCACCAGATTTAATAAATGTGGAAAAAAAAATCAAGATGATGTGATAATTTGAAATATGAAACTTTGAAATAAAATATATATAGGGTGTTTGTGTTCATTGGTAGCTTTTATGGGGAAGGGGCTAGAGTGAGGAGGTTGTAGTGAGTGATGCTGTATTTGTTCTATCTAGCTGGGGAGTTTTGTTATCCAGTCATGTATTTCTTCACTCAGAAGTGTTAAAGCTATTTTGGAATTGGCTACTTTGAGTAATGGTTTGAGCAGCTTTTGCTTAGATTAAAATAATTTTTGAGCATCATTGTATTTGCTGCCATAGTTTAAAAAGTACATTTGGGGAACCAGCAGTTAGCGTAATGGCTATGTCACTGGACTCCCACGTAGTCGACCACGGTTCGTGTCCCAGACCCGGTGGCTTAAAACTCACGCCAGGCACGTGTGTGTGCGTGCCCAAGATCCCGAGAGGAGAAAGGAGGAGAAGGGATTGCAGCGTGATCATCCCCCCTGGGGGGTGATTTCTCGCTTTCTGTCTCTCTGGCTCTCTCTGTCTGTCTGGCGAGCACACGCGCCCTATAGCAAAAACCTCTCCAAAAAAAAAAATACATTTGCTGAATATATTTTAACCTTTTCAGGACTCTTAAATCATTTCATGAATTATGGATGCAGTATAGAACAGTTGACAAGATTGAAGTGGGATTTTTTTTAAGATTGACTTATTTATTTAATTCCATTTGCTATTATTATTTTTTAATTTGACCAAAGAGAGAAAAGGAAAGTGAAAAGGCAAGCCACCAGGTCTGGGACTCAAACCATAGTTGACCATGTAGGAATCTGGCTCCTTTAACCACCATACCACCTGCCAGCTCCTGAAGTGGAATTTTTCATTAGACCTAGGTTTCAATAATGTCTGGTCACTTAGCATCACAGCCTAAAAAATAGGGTCATTGGGAAAGTCATGACACATTTTTGCATAGAAAAACAGAAACATATGTCATGACGTTCCCAATTACCTAATTACCTATGAGGTAATTTTTAATGATAATAGTAATAACATTGTCATTTTATTCCTACACTGTAGAAAATGGTCTGGGACATTACAATCAATCTGTACCAATTTTTTTTTTTAAGGAATTATTTTATTTAACTTTATTTAGCCATTTATTTATTTTAATTTGACCAGAGAAGGACTGTGAGAGAGAGAGAAAGAAAGCAAGCTTCCAGGTCTGGGCCTTGAACCACGGTCGGCCATATGGGAGTCCAGTGCCCTTAACCACCACGCCACCTGCCAGCCCCTCAGTCTGTACTAATTCTAGAAAACTCCCTAAAAATTTGCTATCAGAATTTCTGATTCCTTTGCCTTTTTTACATTTAGCACTATTTAGAACATTTTATTAAATTAGTATCTTTGGAATCTTCATTAGGATGATCAGACCCATTGTATCTGATCAAGGGAAAAATTCATGTTGTGGGACTTCTTAATGACTGCTGTTTAACATCTTTAAAGGCAATGGATATTTTCACAAAATAACCATAAAACCAGACTCCTTATTTTTAGCATTCTACTCACCTTTGGGTTCTGCAAGAAGACAAATGGTTGGTGTCACAAGCCTATTTAGTGCTCACTAAGGAATAATTTTTCTACTGTAAACAATTTTACCATTTAGGTAGAAACTTAATACTTTGTTATGTCATATATAATTATGTGCTTACAGGGACAAATAACCATGTTACAGTGGCAATAGAAAATTGAGTACCACTTGTTCATTACTAACCATTTGAATAAGAGCAAGGTAAGACAGTATAAAGGTAATTTCCTTGAACAAACGCAGTTTATTTCCATATCTCATGATCACAAAACAATTTACCTTTAACTCTTCAGTTATGTCAGCAAATGACATCTATCACAATCTCATTTTTTAACCACTTTTAGCAGTCTTTTTCAATATTGTTAGATAAGGAAAGAAATAAAAATAGTTTAGGATTTTAATGCAGACAACCAGCTACTGGTTCTGGTTGTTTCTCTTCAATATTAATACCGTATTAGTTTTAGGGGGGAAAAAAAGGTGACTTTGCCCTCTATTGAAGAAATTTGATACAGAAATGAATAATTATTATTAAGGCTGAACAAAAAGATTTTACAGGTTTGTTGATGTTATTTAGTTTGTAAAAGATACAAAGCATTGTTAGGTAACAAATGACCAGAAATGGGAAGCTTAGCACATACCCATTTATCATCCTGTTTCTGTGGGGCAGGAGTGCGTTTCTTCAAAGGTTTCTCATCTGAAGTCTCAACAAGGGAGCCTCTACTTCCTCACTCATGGGCTTGTCATTCAGCATCCAGGTGGTCGGAGGACAAAGAGCCTGTTACCAGAGTTAGATCCAGAGTCTGAGTACTACGGTAGTGTCAGATCAGATCACAGGCACTGGGGGTGGGAGGAGAGGGGCACACAGTGGGCACAGGGGACCACAATCTGAAGAGTTGCAGGACCACAAGGTGTGACCGTGGGTCAGGTCCATACTACCAAGCACTGAAGCTGGGAAATGGTGCTTGGTCCCCAGATGAGTCCTCAGTACTAGTTCCACATTTCTTCCTAATGTGATGGAATAGTGGCTGATGATTGAGGTTGTTGAGGATCCTCCACTGAAGGTTCCTCTGACAGTTCCCATGGCTACTTCCCACGTCTCACAGCAGTGTTAGGATGTGAGATATCTTTTCAAATGAGGTGCAAGTTAGTAGCCAGGCAGCGCTGTAGGAACCCCCCTCCTTTAAAATGTTCTCTGACTGCTTCAGAGGGAGAAAGTCAGTGATACCCCTTTGTTTTGTGCTTACAAAAATGTTTATTATTGTAATATTAGTAATATTAACAAATTCATCTCCTGTCTTATTAGCAGCTCTATACCATAGCACACAGAACCATTTAATAAATATTTTCAGAAATAAAAATATGAAGTTTTAACAATAACCCAATTGTTTATTTTTATAGGTGTATAAAAACACATTATAGACTGATATTTTCCATTTTATTTGCAAGAAAATGATCAGTGGAATGAAATAATTGAAGTATGACAGAAGATATATTTTTTACAAATCGAAGCCTTTGTACAGTTGCTGGATCCACAGAAGCACTACTCCAGAGCAGAACGATGCCTTAATCTTAAGTGTCCATTTGTGCAGCTTGACTTACAGCTACAAAAGTGACTTAATTTTACTTTGGAAATAACACTTACCTGTCATGAGATGCTATAATATGAGCTATCATCACATGTTAATGTGCCATATGTATTTTTTATTACCTAAGTTTCATTATTAGGTTGTTTCTTAATATCCATATAAATTTTCACTCCAAAGCATTAGCTTAAAAACTTGTCTTAAGTGAAGTACATCTAGGGCAAATGGTGGCTGAAAGTAAATAATATCCAAATCACTGTTGCTAGTACTGTATAAGGAAAAGATAATAACTGCTTTTTTAAATTGGGTATTTACTAATTTATAATTACTTTTATACTTTTCAACATTTTTAATAAAGTTTTTTTATTGTTGGCTATAAAATAACACTCAGAAGGATTCAGTATCTAAATATATAATCATTTAGAACATAAACCATATTGGTGTAATTCCTTGAAGGCCTAGCTATATGCATTAATGCAACTGTATAATATAGTAGGTATCTGTGGCTTAAAGGAAGCTTGGCAGTGTAAGAAATATTTTGGATGATCCCTGTTTTCTAATTACTTTTTTGTTAACTTTCAGGAGTATTTATATGGGCAGGGAAATAAAGGCTCATGTGCTGTAAGCGTGTGGAACACAACAGGAATGGATAGAAGTGGTTAGAAGAAAAGCACAGAGAAAGGGACAGAGTATGGAAAACTGTTAAGAAACAGTTTCCTTCCTAAAGGCATTTAGAATAATACTGTTAACTTTCAGGTTTCACTTTAGAACTTTTTACCATAATCCTGTAACAGCTTAAACCATGACTTAAAATACAGTTCAAACTCGGTGAAAAACTGATTTAGCGTAATACAGATCTGAGAAAGAAACTGTAACCTGAGTGATTCCTTAAACTCCAGTCTCTGAGAAGTGGATTCTACTCTTCAATGCAAAATCTCTTAAATCTGACTTCTGGAGTAGCAACCTCTTTCTGACTAGACACATTTTTTCTTTTACAATATAATCTAAGTGATAATAGTCGCATTAATTCTAAAGAAAAATACAGTATCCTCTAACAGATAAACAATCTAGAAATGTTCCTTTTCATTTTTACTTTTTTTTAAATAGACATAATAGGACACATGTGCTCACAGGAGAGACAAGAGACAGAAAGTAAGAAATCAACTCCCCTGAGGGGGGACGGGGTGGTCACACTGCAATCCCTTCTTCTCCAGTCTCCTTTTGGGAGTTTGGGTGCACACACACACAGGTGCACATGCCTGGCATGAGTTTCAAGTTGCCAGGTCCAGGATTCAAACCATGGTCAACCACTCAACATGGGAGTTCAGCACCTTAACCACTGCGCCACCTGCTGGTTCCCACTGTTGATTCTCTCACATACACCAAATTGAATGATTGCTCCCAGTAGGATACAGAGAGCCCTCATTAGATTTGTAAGTATCAAAGATTATAGTTGCCTCGTCTATAAACTGGGGTCACAGGGGACTGGAGGTTGTAAACTGGTTGGACTAGATGACTTCTAACATACTGCAATGCCTGATTTACAAAATCACTCACCTTACTTTTTATTTACCCAACAAATATTTTTAGAACACCTATATATCAAGCAATATACTAGGGATAGCTCTATAGTTTCCTAATGTAGCATAAGATTTTATTGTTGCTATTTCAGGTTTGTCAGATTTGTTTAACTTCCATTGGCCAAACTAATATTAGATTTAAAAGGAAGCAACTTTTTTTCCTTTGAACCAAAGGAATGAGTTAGCTTTGAAAACATAGTTTGGAGTTCTATAGTATGAATTCTTCTACCTTTGTTTCAACTCTTTAACCTTAATAACCTTGATTCTAGAAAAATTAGAATGAGTTAAGAGATACCAGTTACCAACCAAAAACATAACCTCAAGTTGTTGGCTTGTATATTATACTGACATAGTAAATATTTAAACACACTTGACTACTTTTAGAAATATTCTCCTTGAACATTTTATATTTGTACATTTAGATGAAAGGGTTTGCATGTCCCTGGCAGGCAACTGAGGAAACATAGTTTTCCCCTCCTTTAACTTGTTCAGGCACTTTTGTGATACCATGTTTCTCAAGTTCTCATAAAAACTTGTCTTAAGTGAAGTACATCTAGGGCAAATGGTGGCTGAAAGTAAATAATATCCAAATCACTGTTGCTAGTACTGTATAAGGAAAAGATAATAACTGCTTTTTTAAATTGGGTATTTACTAATTTATAATTACTTTTATACTTTTCAACATTTTTAATAAAGTTTTTTTATTGTTGGCTATAAAATAACACTCAGAAGGATTCAGTATCTAAATATATAATCATTTAGAACATAAACCATATTGGTGTAATTCCTTGAAGGCCTAGCTATATGCATTAATGCAACTGTATAATATAGTAGGTATCTGTGGCTTAAAGGAAGCTTGGCAGTGTAAGAAATATTTTGGATGATCCCTGTTTTCTAATTACTTTTTTGTTAACTTTCAGGAGTATTTATATGGGCAGGGAAATAAAGGCTCATGTGCTGTAAGCGTGTGGAACACAACAGGAATGGATAGAAGTGGTTAGAAGAAAAGCACAGAGAAAGGGACAGAGTATGGAAAACTGTTAAGAAACAGTTTCCTTCCTAAAGGCATTTAGAATAATACTGTTAACTTTCAGGTTTCACTTTAGAACTTTTTACCATAATCCTGTAACAGCTTAAACCATGACTTAAAATACAGTTCAAACTCGGTGAAAAACTGATTTAGCGTAATACAGATCTGAGAAAGAAACTGTAACCTGAGTGATTCCTTAAACTCCAGTCTCTGAGAAGTGGATTCTACTCTTCAATGCAAAATCTCTTAAATCTGACTTCTGGAGTAGCAACCTCTTTCTGACTAGACACATTTTTTCTTTTACAATATAATCTAAGTGATAATAGTCGCATTAATTCTAAAGAAAAATACAGTATCCTCTAACAGATAAACAATCTAGAAATGTTCCTTTTCATTTTTACTTTTTTTTAAATAGACATAATAGGACACATGTGCTCACAGGAGAGACAAGAGACAGAAAGTAAGAAATCAACTCCCCTGAGGGGGGACGGGGTGGTCACACTGCAATCCCTTCTTCTCCAGTCTCCTTTTGGGAGTTTGGGTGCACACACACACAGGTGCACATGCCTGGCATGAGTTTCAAGTTGCCAGGTCCAGGATTCAAACCATGGTCAACCACTCAACATGGGAGTTCAGCACCTTAACCACTGCGCCACCTGCTGGTTCCCACTGTTGATTCTCTCACATACACCAAATTGAATGATTGCTCCCAGTAGGATACAGAGAGCCCTCATTAGATTTGTAAGTATCAAAGATTATAGTTGCCTCGTCTATAAACTGGGGTCACAGGGGACTGGAGATTGTAAACTGGTTGGACTAGATGACTTCTAACATACTGCAATGCCTGATTTACAAAATCACTCACCTTACTTTTTATTTACCCAACAAATATTTTTAGAACACCTATATATCAAGCAATATACTAGGGATAGCTCTATAGTTTCCTAATGTAGCATAAGATTTTATTGTTGCTATTTCAGGTTTGTCAGATTTGTTTAACTTCCATTGGCCAAACTAATATTAGATTTAAAAGGAAGCAACTTTTTTTCCTTTGAACCAAAGGAATGAGTTAGCTTTGAAAACATAGTTTGGAGTTCTATAGTATGAATTCTTCTACCTTTGTTTCAACTCTTTAACCTTAATAACCTTGATTCTAGAAAAATTAGAATGAGTTAAGAGATACCAGTTACCAACCAAAAACATAACCTCAAGTTGTTGGCTTGTATATTATACTGACATAGTAAATATTTAAACACACTTGACTACTTTTAGAAATATTCTCCTTGAACATTTTATATTTGTACATTTAGATGAAAGGGTTTGCATGTCCCTGGCAGGCAACTGAGGAAACATAGTTTTCCCCTCCTTTAACTTGTTCAGGCACTTTTGTGATACCATGTTTCTCAAGTTCTCAATTTCTGCTCTATACCATCATCTTTAACAGCACATTAAACACCTTTTCAGAATTTACAGTTCAAGCCTTTTGGTTAACTTTGATTAAACTTATGGCCAGCATTTTTCCACATTCTGAATACTTTTTACCTGAATTTATTCGTACATATTAATTGCCATTCAGCAAGGGCCTACAAGTGGTATGGGAATCAGAGAAAGGCTGTCTCTTTGGTATTTCAACTGGTATTCATAATTGCTACCAACTGTTTGCAGAGAAATGATAAAAATGAAGCCTTGTCAAAATTTATAATTACTATCTTTTATCCTTGCAACACTTGAACATTTATGATGATTCTTAGGAAAATTACCTTGAATTTCAGGTCTTGCTATTGCCATTAAAAACAAGCTAGACAGAAGACCTTGTTTACCTGGGTATAAATTTACTTGAATATTCACTGGGTACCTGAGGTACCTGACCAATATCATTATGCCAAACCAAAGAGCAGCTGTAGTATGTTAGTTACTAAAAATGAATACGTTTACAAAGTTTAGCTTCATCTTTACATAAGGATAATTTTTTAAAAACTTTTTACATAGTTAGTGGTTATGATCCAATGTGTCACAAGAGAATTTAAGGTTGGTTTAAATCAAATATGCAGTGTTTACTTGAATTTAGGTCTGTTAGCAAGCAGATTTTGTCTTACGTTTACAGAATTGTTTAAAAGATTGCCAGACATGTAAGATCGCCATTCAGTTATCTCAAGCAAATGTGTATTAAGAGTTTAGGGCTACGATCTGCATATTTGGGGCATTGAATAGATGGTAACTTACAAATGTTTTGCTTACATTTTATTCTAGGACTATCACTGCTACCAATGGAAAGTATTTTTAACTAATCTTTTATTAAAAAATTAATCATATTTTTGCATTTCAGCCAAAATGAAGACCATATCTAATAACTGTTAGATACAGGTAATAGGTAAATCTGAAGTCCATGTTTCATATGATCTAAATGTAATTTCCAATTTAAATTTAAGATATGATATAGATTCAGAAAGGTCCATATTTTTATAATGACTTCACTCTATATTATTTTGTTGGGTTGAGTAAAGAAACAAGGAATTGTATTTGTATTAAGAGACTAAGAAAGCTGTTAGTCAAGTTTATATTTGTACATGATTGC